GATCCAAGTATTGGGTGTGTGGCCTCAATCCCACCACCTTACCCATGGCAGATGTTTAGGCCATGTGGACTCACAGGTATTTGTTTGAGAGCTTACAGACGAACTTCCTTACTAAAATACCATAGTTTGTAAGACTGTACCCTTTGATTTATATTTATATTACACTCAAGCTTTTTGGAGAAAAGTAAGAGAATCAGAATTGAGTAATTGGACGAAAATAACTTAAAGACCAAGAAACACATTTAAAAGGCTGAAGAAAATTCACATTTTAGAAACTGAGATAGATGTTAAAAAAAAAGTTTTCATTTAGAAAAATCACATTTTTGAATAAAAGTACCTACATAGCCAGAAAGAGTGACTCCACATCTTCCTCCACAGTTCAGTGGGAACGATTCATGCTACAGATGCTTTGATAATAAACTCTTTTTCATTAGCACTGTAGGGCTTTATGCATTATAAAAATATGGCCAATTTGTAAATGCCCAACAGCAGTCAAACACTGCCTTATGTGTCAACCGAGTTACTTGCCATTTGGAATAATACTTGGATTCAGCACAGAATACATATCAGAGTGATTCAGGATGGAATCACTTGCCACCCTTAGAATGAACCTGAAACACTAAAGACAAACTAATTCATTTGGGAAATAAAAATGTAATCACCCTCCCTTGCATCTGTTGCAACAATTCAATCTGCAGTGAAACTTACACTTGCATCAAGTGTGTGGAGTGTTATCACTGCCATTCCTTTTATAATCTTCTATACAAAAAACAGTCATAATATATTCTTTCATTTTGAATTTTTTTATACCGAGAAACTGATCTTAGTAGGATTTGTGACAAAGAAGTATGCAATCACTCAACAAATATTATCCCAAGAGTAGGAACACATAGAAATCAAATAATGCAAGGAAATAACTGAAAAGCTTCACTGTGATTATCTCTGAAATTGTTTTTTTCTTTATTCTTTACAGTGTATTCTACATTTTCTAAATGAAGATGCCTAATTTTCATCATTGAAAACACAAATATTATTAACTTTTAAAAGACAGGGGTAAAACAAGATATGACTGTCGATGCATTTAAGATAATATGAAAGTTCATGTGCATCTTGGAAATGAAAATGTAAGACTTCTTCCAGAAATTCCCTGAATTCAGATCCAAGTACCTTCTGATGCTCCATAACCACAAATTGCCTAAAGAAAGGCTTCTCTTTTGCAGCACAATGAACTTCCTTTATCAAAGAGTACAAAGAATCTTTAATTGAATGCAATTTCAGGAACATAAAGTATCACTAGTATAAAGTGAAACCATCCAATAAATGGCTCCACAATGCCTAGTGCTATGAGAAAAAAAATTGAGTATCATTATATTTTTTCACAACTCATATTTTTAAACCATTACTGATTTCTGAAACATACACCTGTTATCTAAACTTACTCTTGCTAAGTCGAGTTTTGCCAAACAGGAATCTGAGGGCTGGGTTATTTTTAAAGTTTTATATCTGACTCATACTCCCTCTCAAACTTTCTGAGCCTAATCCCATGAAATTTCCCAGGTGAAATTCCTATTCTCTTCCTCAGGTAGTGTCTGCCTGAAAGGCATATGCACACGTATGTGAAACCCATGAGGGCTCTCAGAGTTTCCCTAGGGCTGTGTGCTCACCACCTTGCCTGTTAAGGGGACAATAACTTTTTGTGGGTTATTTTAGCTCATGTCCCCAACAGCTGAAAGGGGTAGAAATTGTTACATCATCTTTACAGATGAGAAAATTAGGCTTTAAAACTGGCTTAGAGTCACTTAGGTAAGGGCCAGCCTCTTTTTTTCTGTTATTTATTTATCAAATGTCTATAATGTATTACACACTTCTCTAGAATAGAAAACTACAGCCCATGCTCCTGGGGTCACCCAACGTTTGGAACATACTTATGATAAAAATATAAAAGGTTGTTATTTGGAATTCAAATTTAACTGGGCATCGTGGATTTTTATTTGCTAAGTCTGGCAATCCTATGTATTCATGCCCACCATGCCATACAGCACGCTAGGTTGACTCAGTGACCCATCCAGTCCTTCCCAGCAGACCATGTTGATATGCAATGGATGGAGACCTCCAGGAATGCTGGGATGAGGACTCCAGGGATATTGGGATGCAGATTCCAGGGGCCCTGGGATGGAAGCCACAAGACATATTGGGATGGAGACTCTAGGGACACTGGGATGGACACGCCAGGGACATTGGGGTGGAGGCTCCAGGGAAACTGGAAGACACTGAGATAGAGACTTCCAGGGATGCTGAGATGGAAACCATCAGAGATACTGGACAGAGACCTCTAGGGATACTGAGAGAGAGACACTCCACTGACACTGGAATCGAGAACTCCAGGGACTCTGGTATGGAGACCTCCTGGGACAGGTACCCCTTGAAAATAATTCCCAGCTGCTATCTACAGCCAGAACAGGAGCATAAGACATCTCTTCACAATACCCTAATGTGCTCTGTGGCTTCTCACATCCCTTAGGAAAATCTTGAGTCACTGACCAAAAGCCAACCACTTGCAGAATGATGTGCTGGTCTGTTCACACAGCACCCAGGACCTCCAGAGACAACAGAGAATCTCCTGAGTCAAAGTCATAGAAAAACCTTTTCCAAAGTTCCTTAGAGATGAATGAGGGATGCAAGACTCAAAACTCTAGTTGGGGTCACACATGTACCCGCTCCCCTGGTAAAGGGTCTGTTCCCTTGGCTCAGAGTGAAAGCTCATTTTCCCTCAGGGTGAGCTTTGGTGTATACAGCCTGCCACTGGCTCACACTCTTGCCAAATGTAGGTATCTGGGATAAGCTGTTATAATCCCAATCCCCTTTTCCCTAAGTGTTCACCCAGATGCAGAGGGGAACACTTACAAATTCAACTCTGGAAATAAATGTGTTGAATCAACAGGTATCTTTGAGCTTCTAAGAGCAGGAAAAGTCTGGGCTATATTCTGGAGAAATAAAGAAAAGACAGGCACTTCCCTTGCCTTCTGGTAAGTCGCCATCTGATAAGGGTGACTTGTCAAGAAATAATGCAATATCCTACAATAAGTGCAGTTAAAAGGAAAAAAAAAAGTAGATGTCAGGTATGTTACTAGGGTCATACAGGACAGAGAATGTGGCAGCTCAGGACTGATGGTGAACCCTTCAGCCAGGTCCTTACTACAGTGGAAGTTTACCAAGCAGATAATTTGGGGTGGGGGTGGGTGGTAGCCAGTATTCCAGGAAATGAGAAAGAGGTCAGAAGGGAAAAAGCCCAGAAGTAAGAAAGCATATTCCATAACTGTAGGCAGAATAAGTAATTCCACATGTCTGGACCATGTGAGAATGAAAACAGGCAAGTCTGGAAGGGAGGTGGGAATGCAAGGCAGAAGGGCTGGCGTACCTCACCAGGGAGACAGCACAGATCCAATGGGAGCTACTGAAGGTGGGCATTTTTAAAAGATGATGTTGGCTGTGGTATGCAGAAGGAGGATAACCTCTGAAGGCCAGGAGACTGATTTACCACCACTGCAAAACACAGGCCAAACTCCAAGTGATGAAATTTGATGGAAGTGAGCATCAGAAATCCCCCAGTATTGCTACTGGACTAAAGTAAGGAAGAGAACACCAAGTAGCCTTGTCCAATCCATATTCACCGCACCTCACAAACGTCAGAAGAGGCGAAGGTAACTTGCTAGGTGCAATAAACTACGCCAACTTCTTCCTGCTCATGTAAAATTACAACCATTCATCACTTCAAGTGTTGAGTGGATGTACAAGGACACCTCAAGATCTGAGAGCAAAAGCAATGATCCTAGGAACTGTTCAATGTTTATCTAGAGTGCCCAGAGTATAAGCTAGATTTAGCTGCACTCGGGTTTATAGAGAGACTGCAAAACCTCTGTAGCTATGACAGGTATGCTTTATACTCTGGTACATTTGGATGAAAAATATAATGAACTCTCCACTGCCCAATGTGTCATCCTTAGATGCCAGAAGAACCCAATTCTACAAATGGACCCTTTATTCAACTTTAATAATATCAATTTTCGTAAAAGATGGCTATATAATCCCCAAATACGTAATTTGAATGCAAGGATTATGCAGGTTTTCTAAGGAAGTGATAGTGAAAACAGGGGAAAGAACTCAAATTTGTTTTGTGTGCCGGCAGCCCCATCGTCAAACTGGGATACAGATGTTGAGTAGATACAGGAACACGCACACCCTTAAGAGACAAAGATAAAAATAACTTCATTGAATCTCAATTTACTGGTATGTGGCCTAATCAAAGTGACAAAGAAAGGTGGTGGTGGGCCTTGGAGTACACATCAAGATCTCTGGATCTCTAGAATCCTATTGAAGAATATAGTGGGAAGTCAGGAACATGTTTTCGGGAGTCAAACTGCCTGGGTTTGGAACTCAGGTCCATCTTTTCTTAGGCATATACCCCTGGACAACTTATTTATCTACTTTCTTCCTCAGTTTCCTCATCTCTAGAACAGCAATGTTGATAGTACCTACCTCTTAGGTTTGAATGGAGGAACAAATGAGTTCATTCGTGTTAGAACAGTTACTGGCACAGGGTAAGGGCCCAGTCAATGCTTGCTCTAGAGGGCAGCCATCAACATCTTATTAGCAGTAGTATATTTTACGACACTCATACTGTATTTCATTCTTATAAGGAATAATATTGTTCAGCACTCTTCAGTTTTGTCAGGGAAGGTCACACGTAACTGCACAGATGTAAAATGAAGTCCAAAAATATCTGCGGTGGCAAAATACAGTATCTCTCACCTTGCTCCTACAACAAGTTCTTTCTGTCCTGGGTCAAAGGTTAACTGCGAGAAATCCACAGCATTCTTCGCTCTGAACTCCCGTAACCAGGGGCCAATTTCTAAATAGAAAAAAATAAATAAATAAAAAGATAAAAATGAATTATTTTTCCTCTGGGGACCACAGAGAGTGCACAGCAGGTAGCAGACGTTACCTTTCAGAGAAGATTCGGCGGTCCCTCTATGTCACCCTTCAGAGGCCACTGGAGGCTTCCCTCAGGATGCCCCATAAGCCGTAGTAGGAACTTGTAAAGCACAGAGGGCAATCACCCAGTAAAGAGCAAGCGAGGCATCAATGCTTGGTTGTGATTTACAAGCCAGATGCGCATTTTCCTTTTGGCTTTGGGCTGGGCAGAAACTAACACAGCATTCACATGATTCATCAGAGGAATACTGAAAGCACACAAGACCATTTCCTGTGCAACTTGACTCAACAGAGCTGCAGATTTTTAAATATTACAAAAGCCTCCTTAGGAGCAAGGACCAAGCACACAAGCACCATTTGCCTTCTTTCACATTAGATGTTCCATTTCTCTGTCCTTTGGGTTTCTATTTTGGTCCCATGATTAGACTTGTTAAACACATTCAGACCTTTCTAGATGAGAAATCCACAGTTACTTCTAGGCTTCATTTGCATTTTTTTTTCTGAGGGAAATCAGGAAATAGCCACACTATAGAGACAGATTTTCACAAGCACGGTTAACTCCTATTAGACAGCCTCCAGCCCAGAGTCCGATAATTATAAAATGACAGTATTTGAAGAGAGATAGGATGCTGCTTTAATGAGCCATTTTTGCAGCTTTCATTAGCTCATTTTTAACACTAAAAAATATTCAATGAGTTGCCCACCAATCATGGGATACCTTATCATTATCATTGACAATTAACCATGTCATCTGATTGTCTTTTTTTCTGGGATTTAGTATTTTGAATAACACCACCCTGACTAACCAGGCACATAACAACTGTCAAATCCATGAAGATGTTGGTTTGAGGAAAAAGTGTGTAACACAGGAAAGAATCTCCTCCAACAAACACTGATGGTAAACATGTCAGTGTTATGTTTTTAACGGGGGCATATGGAAATATGCCCCCCATTCCATATCATATCCTGTAGACATAGTTTTGTTGATGTGAATGAGAGGGACTATTTTTTCAGGAACAGTCCTGTATAATAAACATGTCTTTTCTCTACTAATAGTTATTGGGGGGAAGTGATATCATGTAAAGTTTATCTTCTTAAAGGAAACCAGGGGGGAGTCATATAGAGAGGGATTTGTAATGTGTATGATATCTTGAGTTTTTAAGGAGTTTTATATAAATTTCTACATTTTATAGGCAAATCAATTAAAACAAAATACAAAGAGCAAGGTATGTACAAGGCAATGGAACTATGAAAAGTTATTAATAAACAATCCTTCCAGGACTTTATAATTCAGTTAAAGAAACAGCACTAGTATCCTTAAACAGCATGTCTATCAATGCAAGTGTTTATAGGGGCTTGTGGGGTTACAGAAATTATTCTTATATGAAAAGAAGAGATGATTGAGAGCTGGGGTAAAACAAAAGGAAAGATTTGACCAGAGAGTGACAGGAAAGATGTCCTAGAGGGGCAGAGCAAGACAGAAACATGGGAGTCCATGGTGCTCCCTGTGGCCATAACTGGTATAACTCATTTTCATTCCATCAGTGTCTCCATTCCTGGGCAAGAGAGAACCCAATGGCTCTTGCATCTGCATTGCTCCCTGCAGTGCATGCAGCATACACAACAGCACCTTGAATGTGATAGGAAATAATAAATGTGTGAAATGAAGTAAGAACAAGTAAGTGAATTCAAGAGAGAAATAATAAAAAAGGAAAGGAAATAGGAAAAAGAGAAAAGAGAAAAGAAAAAGCAATAGCAACTTACGAAACTACTAGGACAGGAAACTGAAAGGTTTATTTAAATACAAACTGTAGAAAAATTCACTTTCACTTTAAAAGGTTTGGACTTCATTTCATATATGACAGCAACACTTTGAAAAGTTTTCAGGAAAACACTTGACCCACTCTAGCAGATGCCTTTGGAATATTAATGAGCCCTTGACAGAAAGGATGGTCTGCAAATAGTAGAGAATGGAAGGAAAAGTAGTATATTTTTTAAAAACCTAAAAACCGTACAATTAGGTATGGGCTTACAATTTAGGTATTGGCTTTGAAAATGAATAAAGGAGATGTGGGATCACTGATTAGAGATGAAGTCAAGGGAAACAAGTTAAAGAGAACAAAACAGTTTCCAAATTAAATGAAAAAGAAAACAGTGATGACTGAAAGACAGGTATCAGGAGTTTGAGGTGGCTTTAGAGAAAGATAACAACTTCAGGTACAACAATGGGAATGTTGCACATGAAAAATTTCCAATGGTAGGTTGGCCCACAGCCATTGTTAAACATTGCTAAGACCTAGAAATGTCCATAAAGATGTTCTAGTTCAGGAGGTTCATCATTCAGATGGGAAACACATGACCAGGGAGCACTGCCAGGACCAGGCTCCAGAGTGAACATCAGGGGCTCTGTTCACCACAACTCACAGCCCCCAGAGCTGGGCTCACATCCAATCTTCAAACCACGTGAGGGAAGAACAGAGGGCCAAGGGCTGACCTTCCTGCTAGGGGAGTGAAGAGATGAGCCTCTAAGAGGAAAGAAGACTGTGAAAGACAGAAGAAAATCAGGTTACTCATTTCCCATGCATTCATCTTTCTTTTTAGTTAGAAGACTGGAAAGAAAGTGGCCAATGGGAACCAGGCTAAAGAGACATAGTGAGGTTTTGGTCCCTATACCGAACAACAGGAAGACAGTTATGCTACTTCCTAAAATACCCTGAAGTAATAAAAGAAGTCATGCACAGAGGAAAAAATGAGTTAACAGCATAGGGTTCTGTCAATATTGTTCGAGTTTCCTTATTTGAAATTCTAATGAACTTTCCCAATAGAACTGTGTATTTTTATGGTTAACACAGATCAAAGTTGAGTAATCTGCATATTCTCTTCTTTTTGACTTTCCTGCAGAAGGTTGGCCATCTTAACTTTGCATATTACGTTGGCTTCTATCTCACTGATACCATGAGAACCTTGTGAGAAAGTCTCTGCACCAACTCACCTCTTGAGCTAAAAAGAAGCCCGAGCCAATAACTATCCTCCCAACTTTCCCAACAGATCAGAGAAAAGGCACTCGATCCTCTTTTCAAAGACCAGTTGCTCTCATCTCTTCTTTCCTCTTTAATCGCTTCTCTAAATTACCTAGGCTTTCCTCTCAAATCTCCAATGTTACCTAGTCCCTTTCCCTCTGCCTATATGTACATCCTGTCCTATTTTTAAAAACATTATATATTTTTATTACACTCCCATGTTATTACAGCTTCAAAAACCCAAATAAAATGCATAATAAACTTCCAAGTACAATATAGCAATATATCAAAAAAAAATCACACACATACAGACACACACACACACACACACACACACATATACACATACACATACACACATACACTATATTTCATATGGAATAGGGCTTATCCCAGAAACACAAGGATGGCTCAACAATCTTAATAACAGAAAACCTATTACTACAATTCATCATCACAATAACAGATTTCAATAGTAGCAGGAAAACATTGTCAATACAGCTTTCTAAGGAATCAGAAAATGGACAGTTTTGGAAACAGAAGAGCTAAAAGAGTTCAGGGCAATTGGTCACAAGCTACATGCCAGAGGAAGGTTGGGGAGAGTGAGGGAGCAGGAGGGGGTCCACAGCAAGTGGTGAATTGAGGGGATACAATTTTCAGTAACGTTAAGATGCTCATTGCCCCCAAACAGTGATTTTACCTTTTTCCTCCTATCCCTATTTTCTGATATTGCTGAAATAACCATATGATGAAATGGAGCTTAAATATGGCAGTCAATATGACTATATATATATACACATATATACATGGAAGTTAAGTTATAACACAAAATTTATAAATTTCAACTGAATACTGGATAGATAATTTATAATACTTGACATTAACTATCCTAGATAATCCAATTTTTACACAAACCTTTCCATGATTGTTGAAATATGGTCTCCAGCAATGATTTTTTTATTGCAAAATTACGTGCATTGATTCATATTTGCCTTCTCTTACAGCTACATAAGCTCCCATGTGACTGGTGTGTCAATATTTTATCAAAAGTATAATTCCATTTTTTTAAATAATACAGCCTTACAACTTCAAGAAACGATTTCTTTTATGAACAAGTCAGTATTAATACATTTGTTCCAAAATATTTGACAAATATAAACTAGAGATAAGCTGAATAGATTCAAGTTCATGTCCCTTCCAAAAAATAAGAAAAAAAATCAAAGAAAAAAGAAATGCAAAGAAAAAGAAAGGGAAAAAGGGTAAAAGCTACTATTTTGAAAAACCAGACACTAAAGATAGCCAAGGTAATGATGTTTGTAAGCCAAAAAACAACAACAACAAACAAACAATAAAGAACAGCTCTTGTGGAAGGCATGACAGTCATTCCAAAATCTGATTGAGAGCCACTCCACATGCTAACGCCTGCAGCACCAACTGTCCAGAAACCAATCTGATTTGTTAGCAAACACTGACCAAGGAAACCTCCCAGGTACACTCAGGGCTGGCTCCGGATACCTCTTTCATTCCTCACACCTTCAAACTTTGGTTAATTAAGGGGCTGAGAAAGCAGGATTTCAAAAGCTATATGGGTGACTTGAAATCCACATTGGAAACTAAGATGCAAGTCAAACTAGGTGGGGCCAAGACACGGTGAGTAAAGATTGTTGAAAAGCACAGAGAGCAACATACATAACACACGCAAGTACAGTATGTAGAAATACAACTGCATATCACAGCCTGCTTTTATTTATCATGTAGTTATGTAACTGATTTAATCTGCATCTCTGCATCATGAAAATAATAATGCTAACAATATGATTATCAGCAAAACAGCTCAAAAATAGCTAACATGTAAATAGTAGGTTCTATCTTATGTACTTTATAAGTAATAATTCCT